TGTAACAATACATTCGTATTAAAAAAATTGCCTAATTGTTTTTATTATGGGTCTACATATATGTTTGATTTAATTAGCTGACCGACCACCCCAACGCTAACATGGTAACGAAAGTTTTTTTGCTTGGGTCCCAAAAATAAGGAAATTATTTATTGTATTTTTCCTAAATTTAAAAGGCATTTGATGCAATTGTTTTTCTCTGGTTAATTTCATTTCTATCCACCCGGAAGGAATTCCGTAAGCCTATGAACTAGTGTTAATTCTTATGTACCGGTAGGCATTTTATATCAAACAAAGGCATCTTTTAACAAGAGCAGGATTACTTGACTAAAATTTATTCATTCCCAATTCGTTTCTGATCGAAATACTTGATCTAAAGATATACGATCGGAAACATACAAATTTCTAGATATTTATAAATCATATACCTTAATTGGCAAAGTCAATATTATATAAATATGATAGTCAAACAATTCTTTTTCATACTAACATTGGGCATAATATAATAAACTTTAAAAAGAACAATATGTCAAATCAATATTGTTTAATTCGAATTTTAGAAATGAGAAGAATGGTACTTGATCAATTTCGTATAGTACTCGAGAATTGTTTTATTAATTGCCCAATAAAGGTACGCGAGATCAAATTATTGTGGAACAGAAATTTACGCAGAGTTGAATAGTTTCTATCCCTATTAAGATGACTAGTAATCGTTAAACAGAAAAATAGAGTCTGGAAATTTATAGAAACAATACACGACAACAATCGATTATTAGCTTGGATATTGTCTGTAGATTATATATATTATATATTACAATAATTACATGAAAAAATTGGAAATTCGAATCTTAATCGATTTTGATATATAATAATCATAACTATATGTATTAAACAATTCGTAAGCTGCAATTCTATAATTTTCTATGACCCATCGTCTATAATAGTATGTCCTTACCGGAAGCTAGAAGGTCTTGATGTAAATAATACATGGGATAGCATTCTCTTAGAATAATCTGGAAAAGGATAATACAATACGTTAAACAATGGATAAAATTAAATCATCCGTCGAAAAGATAATACATCCATCCAATTATATAATAATCCGATGATAATTAAATCGGCAAAATGCATTGTATTAATTTCTAAATTTACACAGTATCATTGTGTGCCACAGATAAATTTAGCCAATTAAATCTTTTTGACAATGCACTTCTAAAACAATTGACAGTTTTTTGATCATATATTATAGGAATAGAAATTCGCACAGCGCGTGTATTGTTGCATACACACGAATTGTATTATAGAACACATAGAATTAAGTTTAATGTGCACGAAACATAATGCACTCAAAAATTGCATACTAAGGAGAATGATAGCATTAGAAAAAAGTAGAGTTCGAGAAAATATATTGTTCTTGATGAGCCAAGGAAACGAATGTATTGTTGTGCTACAATACCATTATTATTTTCGTTTTGACAAGTATCAAATTTATACATGGACGATGTAACAATGATATTTTTCATTTATATATATGTACCTATTCCATCAGTGCTAATTCTATAAAAAGAGGCTATCCCCAAAACTTATCCAAAATTTCAATCGATTTTTTATCGTATCTTACTTTAATCTCAATCTTTGAAAATCTCAAATTTTGCAAACAAAATGGTAGATCATCATATCACAAAGTCCTCTCGTAGGTATCATCCGTACTCTATAACCAGTGCTTCTTTAGACTCTCGGAAGAATAGACGTGAGTTGATGACTCAAGTACTCCCTGATCAATTTGTCTCTAATTTATTCTCAAGTATCGAACAACCGCAAGATTTTGTGAATCCTTTTATTAATTTTGACGACAATGGCCAAATTAACAACTACGGAAACTTGTTTGAATTGCAAGGTGCTCAGATTGGATCCTTGCAAGGTGAATGGATGAACAATATTCCCGAGATGATGTCATTTCCCTTCGTACCGACTGAAGCTTGCTCTCAAGTACCTGATATTGAACCCTTTGGACCCTTCGAAATTTGTTCTCAAGTATCTGATCCTGAATCCCTCGTATCTAGTGGAAATTTTTCTCAAGGTTTTGACGTTGATCAATTTTTGAACCTTTTCGATCCTCACTTTTTCTTCGACCAGAATGCGGGTATTGTGGCGAACTGAACATATAACAAGGAAACAGGATTTTTTTACTAAGAAAATCGTATTTCATCTACTAAGTAAAGTTATCGGAAATGCCGTGTTACATATATCTTCAAAGTTTGGAACGATTACGTTGACTTTTCATTAATCGACTTTCATGTTATATGGCTTGATGCAGAATATTTAATTAACCATAGCTGCCGCAACAAATTTGGACCGGCAGATCCTCGATTTTGTTTGGCTAAGAGCGACGAAAAAAAGATTAGGCCGGAATTACTCATAATTTTACTAATGAAATCATAGCCGCCCATTAA